CCCGCGCCCTACCCCAACAACCCAACTCCCAAAAGATAATTTTAAGAAAAACAATATTATAACAAAATTTGCACGTGCCAAAATTTGCACAGATCAACTATTTATCGGATAATTCTGCTCATCACGGCTAAAGTAAAGAAAAAAAGGCATATAGTTTTTTTTTCTTTCTTTGTCGGAATTTAAACCATAATCTCTCATGATTTTCGTTCTATTTCATTGACTGTTAATTGACTCTGGCCCCATTAATATTATGTTTCTGTAAATCCACTAATTATTACATAAGAATGTTAGTCGTAAGAGTTGAATATTTTGACGCGAATTTAAATTTAGTCGGACCTTAACGCAGATATCGGACGCCGGATGGAAAGTAAAAAAAAAAGGAATTGATCGTGTTATTAATTAATTGTCCATGAATACTAGTGAAATGTCCAAATTCTTTGCCCCAATTGTAACAAAACCTTCTACACCTTTTTCACCGTCCTTTTACAAATTACGAGTAAATTGTTTCTATCAAGAATTATTGGTGGAAATCACAAAATGGAAAAGGAAAATTCATTTTATATGAAAATGTTCAAGACACGAGGCTCAAATTATAATTTAATTTCCAATGTGATTTGAGCATAAATATTTTAAATAAAATTTATATATTTAAAAGAACGAGAAAAATATTTTGACAAACTTATAGTAAAAAAAATCATTATTTGACGTGAAATGAAACAAAGAGAGGACTCTATTAACTAACCAGATAAGCTCGGAAATGTGACTGTATCACGACGGCAGCCCATTCTTCACGACCTAAAACGACACCGTTCCACGTCGTCACCGCTGCTGGACCACCGCTACTTGCTGTCAACTCCACCACCTCTTCTACCGTGACGGGGCTGTTGGTGGGGTCCACTGCACAAAGGCATACTTATTTATCATATAATCTAATGTTTAACTTAACTAGTACTGTTTACGCACTTTTCTTTACATATAGCTTCAGAAAAAGCTATCTGGAAAAGAAAAAATCAAGGTGCACCTTGAATTGAACTCGACTATATATATATATATATATATATAAAATATAAATTTTGAACCCTTGATCACTAAGCTATGCTTGTGAGCTGTGTCATAGGGATTCAAAACATATTATATATAGAGGTAAAAAATAGATTTTGTATTACAGTGTAATTTTTCGGCAACATGGGTTCAGGTAAACACCCTTCCGCACCCCTAAATCCGCCCTTGTATGTATATATATTCTTTTCGAAATGAATTTATAACGAAATAGTATCACGTATAATAATTAAAAGAAAATACGCTAATAATCACTAAAATATTACAGAAAAATATTAAATTTTGAACTCATAATGATACATATAAAAGGTTAAACTTACCAAATTTAAATCTTGAATCCGTCTCTGCTCTCACAACGTCATTTCTACCGCAAACTGACGTGGAGACACCATATTGATCATAGTGGGGCTGCTGAAAATCATTATCTCTGTAGGATTTAAAGTTACTGCGTTTCTTTTTAGTGGTTAGTGATGGGTTTGGACTTGGTTTTTTGTGTAACAAAGAAGAAGAAGAAGAAGAGTCAGTTTTCTTGAACCCGAGAAATGCTTTGAACCATTTGGATGCTTTGCCCATTTTGTGTTTTTCTTCTTTTGTTAATGACAGAAACTTCAAACTAAAGACTGAAATTTAAAGAGATTCATTACATATAATTAAAGAGATTAATCTTGACGTTTTAATTACATATTGTGGGATTAATAGAAAGAGCATTTTTTTCTATTGAGAAGAGAAAGTGGGCAGTGAGAAGAAGAAGAGAAGAATGGTTGAGATTTGTGAAAGTTTGGAGAAGTCAAATGTAATGTGCTATACCCTAGGACATTGGGATAATATGTATGACTTTTTCTTCTTTGGATCATCAATACTTTATATATTTTGCCCATTAAATAAAACACACTCCTTATATAGAGGATAATATATTTTTGATGTATTTGTCATATTTTTCTGGTTTCTAATAGTATTTCTTATGGACGATTATATGTAGTTATTGTTAGGATATATTATAAACCATACGTATGTTATAGTATTTTTATGGAACAATTATTTATTTATTTATTCAAGTTAATAAAGTTTTGTTTTAAATAGATCATTTATTTGTCTGTGTGTTCGTTGCTTATATAGTAGATGATTTAGTGTATAGAGTTTAACTTATACATGGAAGATTAAATTATCGGTTTTTATAAGTCATTTATGTTCACAATCTAATGATGGAATTGGACAAGCCATCGGAATAGTTGTAGCACTAAATTAAATGTAATTTATCTTGAATATAGAAATGATTTAATTCTAACTTCTTGTACTAGTACATTTTGTATGTATTGAATGAATCAAGTAGAGATAAGTACTTTATACTGACTTAATAAAATAATTTCTCTAGTCCATTCAATGTACTTATACTCTTAATCTTGATATAATTATTATTAGTTGTGTGTGTCATTTATTGTTTTGATTTATTAAAAGGCGAGATTCTTTCCTGGGCCAATAAGCCTGGTAAATTGGACAATAATGATATATATTGGCGAAGTAATAATTAGTTATTAGAATTCATGTCTCGGTTTTTGAGATTGATGATACTCCTTTATGAAAGCTTATAAGTTTTCATGTGTAAACCATGCCGGTGGATTTTGTATCCGACACATGAAATAAGTTAAGCGAAAGTATAAAGGAAGTAATCAATAAATTAAATTGTTAGTAATTTAATTTGATTGGTTAGTATCTGAATCTTAACATGGGGAGTTAAATAAGGTTTCATGGAAGAAGTTTGAAATTGAACTAAGGAGTACAATTACGAATTTTTAGTGGAATAATTCATAATTTATTATGGTAGAAATTAATTTCAATTTTCAAAATTAATTCCATAATAGGAAGCCTTGTTAATTAACTTCTGTGGTCCCTACTGCGCCTAAATAATAGGAAATAAAGGAAACATTTCCTTAGTGGAAGAAGAAAACCTAACAGGTTTTAAAAAAGGGTTTTAACCTAAAAAAACGTGGCTATATATACTCCATATAGGGCTGGCCGTTTTTTTTGCACTAGTTTTACACGTTTTCCTCCTCAGAATTTTGCCCACCCGAAATTTTTCCTTTCCGGATATTATTTGGGTAATACGATAGAAGACTGTGGAGGTTTTGCTGAGATCGCAGTCTTGCAACTCTGAAACTGGAGACAGAGATTAATCTGCTTTGTTCATGCTTCAAGGGGTAATTCGAATAATTTTCGTATGTACTAATTGTTTAATTTACACGTGAATATGATACTGTGATTCCTTCCGCTGCGATATATAATCCAACAGTTATAGATGATTTGATATAGTAAATTTTTATATTGTGATCAGCGTATAGAAGTTTATTTCATACGGGGAGTATTAGTTTAGATTTCTATTACTTCTTATTGTTTCTTTTGCTTTGGTTACCTTATGATCTTGTTGTTGTTACTGTTTCTTTTTCTTGGCTTCGCCACTACTATATTTTTTTCTTTCAAAATGGTTATAATTATGCTTTCTTTGAGCCGATGGTCTATCGAAAATATGTTGTTTGCCTTCATAAGGTAAGGATAAAGTATGTGTATACTTTTAGATTACATTGAATATATTATTGTTTTTATCGTATAAAAGTTTAAAATCTAAGGGGTCGTTTGGTTCACAGACAAATTATGCAAAGATTATTACGCAAAAATAATAATAACTGAATTATGTAGTGTATATGTATTTCTTGTTGCATGTTTCGTTTGTCATACTAAAAATTAGATATACAAGAATATTATAAGATAAATGACTTGCCACGTCAATATGTCTAACCTCTGCCCAAATCAACTAGAGGAGACAAAAAGGTAGTAAAATGCTTGTAATTAGTCAAGAATTTCACTAAAAATGTTCAGTCTTTATTGTATGTATAAAAAATAATTTTTGAGCTATAAAAATAATATAATTATTATATACTCATAATATTTTTTAATGAGTGTGTTCAATTAGCCACCTTTCACTCTATGTGTGGCTGCCCCATTTCCCTTACCACGTAAATTGAATCACAATTCTGTCATATAATTACTAGTTTTTGTAACAATTTGACCGGTTATTTTGAGCATTTGCATTTCGCTCGGTAGTTTACGGGAATTAGTAGCTACGTATGATGTATTATATCACGACCCGGATTTTCCACCATCGGGAGTCGTGATGGCGCCTACTAATGTGAGCTAGGCAAGCCAATTATTGAACCATCTACCTTTTTACCAATTTTATTCTCTTTAACAATTTCAAAGAAATAGCATTTAAACAACGGAATATAAAATAAGCGGAAGAAAATAATAAGCCAGCTGAACATGAATATCTATTACAACTGTTTGAGTCTCGACTACGCAGAACTGGTGTCACAGTTTCACTGACAGTCTAAGAATACTACAAATAAAGGTCTGAAAGAATTAAATACAACACTGTCTCTGGAAAAAATACATGCAAGAAAGAGGAAAGTAGATAGAAGGAGATGTCAAGGCCTACGAATGCCTGCAGGGCTACCTCGGGTCGCCTGGTGAACAAGAATCAGCAATCTCACTGCGGTCCGAAGTCTACAACACCGGGGTCTGCACCAAAGAGTGCAAAGTGTAGTATCAGCACAACCGACCTCATGTGCTGGTGAGTGCCTAGCCTAACCTCGGCGAAGTAGTGACGAGGCTAGGATCAGACCACCAAATAAACCTGTGGAGTTATACAATATACAACGGGAAGTAAAGCAGAAATAAACAAGTAAAGATGGGAGGGGAAAACATGCTTCGGGAAATAACAGGTAAAAAACAGAATATCAAAAGAATTATTAAGGAAGCAAAATCCAACCACTAACACGAATAAGGAAAACAAAGGCAGATTTCACTTTCTTTTCACATCTTGTTGCAGGCGTGCAACCCGTTCCCATTTTCTGTATCTCGTGGTAGGTGTACCACCCGCTCCCATTTCACTATATTTTGTGGTAGGCGTACCACCCGCTCCCATCTCATCATATCTTTGTTGCGGCGTGCAACCCGATCCACATATAATATTGTTGCGCCCTGCAACCCGATCCACATATAATATTGTTGCGGCGTGCAGCCCGATCCATATATAATATTGTTGCGGCGTGCAACCCGATCCATATATAATATTTACAATTATAATGAGAGTCCCGACAAGGGATCAATAAGGTCTACACTATCCCGACAAGGGATTCGACAGCATAAGTAAATACGTCCCGGCAAGGGAGAATCAGCTATAACCAAACTTGTTACAACATTTAACTACCTCAGCTATAATCAAACTTATCACAATATCTAACTACCTCAGCTATAATCAAACTTATTACAACATCTAACTACCTCAGCTATAACCAAACTTGTTCCAACATTTAACTACCTCAACTATAACTCAACTAGTTCCAACATCTAAATACCTCAGCTATCATCAAACTTGTTCCACGAGAATAACCATAATCCTTACCCAACACAAAGGATCATCAACCTAAGCATCTGTAATATCCATTAAAAACACAATGCCAGGAACCACAACTAAACAATAGCCTGGCAAGGGGGCGACATAATGATCTTTCCTCTTTCTCACTTTTACTTCACAATTCACTACACAACTCGAGCCAACGCTCTATAGGTTCAATTATCATTTATACTTTCATAATTCGTTATACAACTGGAGCCAATGCTCCTCAATGTTCATAGGTCACAATTCTTTCCACAACTTTATACAACAAATAGAAATCTTCACCAAGGCATGAATAATACAACGAAGTCATAAAAATCACAATATAAGACTCACGATCATGCTTGACACCAACGTATCGATACTCGTCACCATGCCTATAAGACGTACTCAACAAGAAACAAATAGCAAATAGGACACAACTCCTAATCCCTCAAGCTAAGGTTAGACCAAACACTTACCTCGATGCCACGAACACAATTCACAATTCAATTATAGCTTTACCCCTTGATTCCACCACGAACTCGCTCGTATCTAGTCACAAGTTACTTAATTATATCAATAAATGCTAAATGAATCAACCCCAATGCATGAAAATGAGTTTTCTAAAGTTTTGTCCAAAAAGTCAAAAATTGCCCCCGGGCCCACATGGTCAAGACCCGAGGTTCGAACCAAAACCAGATTACCCATTCCCCCACGAACCCAAATATATAATTTGTTTTGAAATCGGACTTCAAATCGAGGTCCAAATCCCCAATTTTTGAAAAACCTAGGTTCTACCCAAAACACCCAATTTACTCCATGAAAACAATTGATTTTAAGTTGAAATCATGTTAAAAGATGTTAATGATTGAAGGAAATGAGTTAAAATTAACTTACAATCGATTTGGAAGAAGAGTTGTTCTTGGAAAATCGCCCAAAGGAGTTTGTATTTTGAAAAGATGTGAAAAATGAGTTTAAAAATCGTGTAAGTATGAAAGTTGCAGGTCACAGGTATGGGAATTGCGAACCCCGACCTCTGCTAACTTCGGAATTGCGAAACAAGGTTCGCAAATAAATGCTGAACTTTCACATTTGTGAAAATAGTGTCGCATTTGCGATACATAGGTCGCATTTGCGATCACTGACCCATTGGCAAATCTTCGCATTTGCAAAGAAAATCTCGCATTTGCGAGCCTGGCTTTGCAACTGCGAATCCTGCAGGCCTGGGCATACCAGCTAAAATCTGCAAGTTTCTAAGTTTAAAAATCCACCTCGTGGCCTATCCAAAACTCACCCGAGCCCTCGGGGCTCCAAACCAAATATACACACAACCTCAAAAATATCCCACGGACTTATTCGTGTACTCA